TCCTTACAAATGTCACTCTGCTTTACTCCACTTTTTATTTTGTTAATAATCTCGCACTTTTCATTTAGTGAAAAAGCTTTGCGTTTTTGTTTTTCTATTCTAAAACGATTTACTTACATAACGCGACAAAAAACAACAAGTCACTGCCTGTCTCTCGCTCTCACTAATATAAACAACTCCGCAGGAAACAACTCCGCTAATGTGGAAGTTCGTTATATCCGGAAGTTCGTTATAACCAGTAAAAAAATACGTTGGTCTTCATGGACGACGTTTCAATTAAAGGAAAAAAGTTTGTTTTAACCGAAAGTTCACTATAACCGGGTTCATTATAAAAGGACTTTACTGTGTTTTATTCAAAATGTTGTTAGTGTGTACAAAAATACATATTTCGATGTTGTTTGGGAGAATTAAGATATGAAAATATGCAACTTCTTTGCTCATAATTCAGATGGACAATTTCCGCGGAAAAAACCAAACTAATAGTGTATTCTTTAAAATAGCCTTCACATTCCCGTAAAATATTTGCACGCATTATAAAACACTCTGTTTAACTTCTGGAAGAAAGGAACGACATATTTTTAAATCAAAAGTGAATTACACACTGCGGATAGACTTGATACTATGGAAATGTCCATACAAAACGAAGAACAAATATGAAGAAACGGAAAAATACTGATTTCTAAAAATACTTCCGATCGAACTTATTAAGTTTTGAGGACACTACCAGCACTTAATTTGATCAATAAATTGCGAGCTTTATATCCAGAGACAACTTGTCTCTGTTATATCCGAGAATCTGACTTAATTTCTACATTAGTGGGTGCTCATGTACTTTATGTCGTGCGAATTTTCGCGTTATTTTCAATTTTCCCTTAAAATTTCACTTAAGGATAAAAATTTAATGTTTTTTAATCTATCAAAAAATGTTGAAAATTTGGAAAGACCACAACTAATCAAGTAAACAAAAAAGTTAACAAACGGCAAATTAAATATTATAATGACACAAAAAGCGCAGATTCTAGAGAGCTTTATTGGATTTTCAAACTAAATTCGTCGACAACCCACAAAAAATAATTAATTCTTTTATTTTAAATAAAGTCTGTGTTTGTTCTAGAACGTGCATGACTCCATTACCCTTCTCCACCCTTCCTGCGGGGGGAATAAATAATGTTGAGGTAATTCAGGGTCTGTCTGTCAGATGGGGCCGTGATATCTATAACGGCATTAAGATTCAAATAATAAATTGCCGTTTGTTTCAAGGAGGCCGATATTGTTCCTGAAAACGTCCAAGCTCGATTGCGTTGTCTCTCTTAGACGTCCGCAGTCAGACAGAGATGAAAATGTGGAAATATTTCAACCATTAGCCCTCCCGGATCTGGAGGGTAGCAGCTGGCAGCACTGCACCCCTTCCATTCCTTAATCAGTTCTTTGGCGCTTTTTTACCGGCTTGTAAAGACAAGCCATCATCTTCCAGACATTTTAATTCGATCGCCTTGCTCCAAAGGACGCTCACTCAAAGGTAAGTTGACTGGCTGGCAGATTATTTAAGTTTGCTTGTAGTAATCGTTAATGTAAACGTGTCTTACGGATAAATCTATTTCGCAACAGCTGGCGTTGTATTTCACTTTCAATTGTTGCATGAACGTTGTGGCTGGGGAAGCTTTGGCTAAGTTTATTATTAGTTTTTTTAGGAAACCGCTTAACTAGAAGGCTAGAAAATGGCTTTGGCTTCGTCTGACCACCCTGTGCATCAGTCGCCGCCATCGGCTGGGGGAGAAGATCACACTTTTAGGCAAAGAATCGCTGTGCAATACCAACAGAGGTAAGTTTTAACCTCAAACCTCTGTTACCATTCTTGAGTTTCTGCCAAAAAACCCTATTTTAATAAATGGATATTATAAGTAACGGGTCCTCTTTTGGTTTCAGCGCTGTAAACAAGTCAAGACTGAAGTATTGCGTGTTTCTCCATTACTTTCTATGCTTTGCTATGCTTGCCAAACTGGTACCCTACATCCTTGATAGGTTCAACTGGTTCATCCTGATCGTTGAAGAGCTTGAAGTACCAGAAGTAAGTATCATTTCTTCACTTCAACTTGTTTCATGAAGCAAAGTTTTGACTTCTATTGTGAATTATTTTTATTTCCAGCCTTTTGCCTGGGAATGGTTTTGGTTGTCCAGTATTACGGCCTCAGCCTTCTGCTTGGATGCCATTAAGAAGAACAGTGTTACTTCTATGAGGAACTACATCATTTCCATCGTGCTCCTTGGATATCTCCCCATTCTCTATGCGCTGGTTTTCTGGTTTTCAGAAGTCTACATCTTCCTCGTCTCGGATGACTATTTCGATGTGGTCGATCTCGTTTACTGGAGGGTAAATATACACATAAAAACTTGCATTGCATAAGAACGTAAACTCTGAAAAACTGCTGGATTTTCAAACGATCATTTGGACTTAAACTCTGTTTTGTTCCAGATGTATCCATGCGGATTACTCTGGTATGCATTCCTGATGATAGCACTTCAAGTGCATTCTTTCTCCATGTACTTCAGCTTCAAATTGATCACTGCTTGGAAGACCAGAGGCGCTCGTAGGGCTGAATAGACTCCCAAGGACTGAGAAGTGTCTACATATTTCCAATACTTTTCAATGCCGTTATTTTCGTTTTTACAATGTTCTGTAGGTAGGTAAGGGTTTCTAAAGTACATATAAAACTTGCATCAAAGTTTGTGATAAATTTTTTAGGATAATTAGACCAACTTACAAGATATTTGATATTTCATGTAGTATTTTGATAAAACGTGTTGTTTGTAACTTTAGAAATGCCCTATTTAAGGTTTGAACCGTGCCATAGGGTTTATTTGCGGTAAAGTTTCATATCTATATTTTTAGATTTCAGATTATTCATATACGCTGTATCCGTGCAAGGCATAACTGCAATATTTTAGTAACTTAATAGTTTATGTGGCTTGGACGGAAACTGAACTGATGTTTTATAGGCTTAAGTTATGAAGTTTTGTTTTATTTATTTCGTTTGTTGTTTTAAATGTTTTATGTGCCTTTAGTTGTTCATAGTAAAGATTCTGGAGCATTTAGCATAAATAGCCACACTTATATTAGTCGTTCAGTTACAGTTCAGTCACGTTTTTTTTGTACAGTAAAAAAAACGTGACTGATATATTGACAAAAAAAACTTCTGTGGCTATTTTTGTTACAAGCTGACGCTTTACTATGCATAAAAGGTTTTATACTGCGACAATTAGCAGCCGGTTTCGTTTGTTTTAGTCTAGAGAGTTTACTGATTGATGGAATTGATGTATTTTTCTTCACTGGATAAAATTCATTTGTTCTATCGAACTGTTGTTTTTGATAATCTGTACTAGACTTAATAAAAATTTAAAATATTTTTGCATATTTTATTTACCACTCGTTCTGTTGAACAACATACCTACATTATTTTCTTGAGTTAGCGAGTTTCTTGAGTGGGCTAATCCAGATTAAAAATAGTGGACAAACGATAGAGCATTCCATTAACTAAATTTCCGTTAATAAATTGGAAAATCAAAATAGAGCTTGGCTCCCTTGCAGAGTTTTAGTAAATAAAAATATATTCGAGGCACAATGCATCTAAGAATTAAAATATTAAATGTTTCCTTTGCATTGTTTAACTATTTGCTTTAATTTGAAAGATTTGGATGTTTTTATCAGGAAGCGGAATCTATTTAGATGTTTATAGGGGTTTGTTTTTATTTTTTGTTATTGTTTTTACAAAATTTGTCTGGCTTTCATAGAAAAAAAATTCTAACTTTATGGTTATAGTAAGCGATGAGTAACGCAACCTTCATGAAGGAATAGTTTAATAATCTGTGGAATCTCCATAGTCTAACCTAATTTAATTTGATTTGATTTGATCTCCCCCTCATATAAATGAACAATAAAATTTTCCAATTTATCAATATAGAAGAAGAACAATAAAGGTGTTCAATGGCCTGTTTGTGGCGCAATCAAAATAGATCAAGTATAGAAATACCGTCTACAGAAGAGTTTTCAAGTGTAACATACTATGTGATACATGTAACTGTTGGTGAAGTTAAATGGAAAGTAAAGCACCGATATAATGATTTTTTCAATTTGCATAGCAAGCTTGTTGTGGACCATGGGGTATCTAAAGACATTCTTCCTTCGAAGAAGGTTATTGGGAATAAATCAAACGAATTCATTGAGTCTAGACGAAGAGCTTTAGAAGAGTATTCACAGAAAATTTTAGTCTTTTTAAAACGGACAATGCCAAGAGTATTTGTTGAATTTCTAGATTTTCACGTCTACGATATATACTTTTTACTTCAAGAATTATCAGCGAAATGTTTTGCTGAAGCAGATTTTATTCTGTCAACAACCCGGACCTTTTCTATGTCTCCATTAGAGGTTTAATCACTGCAAATATCCAGTTTTTCGCGTTTTCCTTTACCTTCTCACCTAATTTCAGCTATATGCGATAAGTGAACTGGTAAAGTCTTGTTTTCCTGATGCTGACAACCTGGAGAAGCCTTTGGATTTGGGACCCATTCTAGATATGTGTTCCCAATTGGATAGTTTAGTAATTAATGGGAGTAACAGTGAATATTTGCAGAGTAATATTGTGCTCAACAAGCTCCCGTTTGAAATGTCGCAGTTGAAGGTATTTCCGATTACTTCAATTTGATAGTCCATTTATTTTAATTCTTTTAGATTGATAGCAGTGTTTGCTTTAAAAAAATTTCATTGAGCATGATATCTTCCTTAGGGAGCCTGAGAAGTACTCTGACTGTGTTAAAAGTTAGTTACACAGATGCAACATCCATCTGTGATATTTTACAATGTGATGTTTTACATAAAACTGCAATCGAAGGAAGTCAGGTGATTGTGCAACGCTATGCATGAAGCCAATTTAAGGCAACTGATTTTATTTTAGAAATGGGACGCATTAGAAACCTTAGATTTGAGCCATAATAATTTAGTTGATATTGACAAGACAATACATTTGGCAGTGAGCTTGAAACATTTAATACTCAATCACAATAAGATATCGACAATATCAAACCTTATGCATTTACCTAGATTGGAAGAGCTAAGTATAGTCAATAATTTAATAACTATTTGCGACCAGCTTCACACAAAGGTTGGCAACATTAAATCTTTAAATTTGTCACAAAATAACGTAGTAACGACCAAAGGGTTTAAAAAACTCTATTCGTTGGAAAATTTGGATCTAAGTTGCAATAAAATAACGGAAATTGAGGATCTCCGATACTTGGGCAATTTACCATGTCTAGAAAATATTACTCTCACTGGAAATAATGTTTCCACAACCATCGATTATAGAGTTAAGGTATTGGAGCTTTTTGGAAATAGGGCGAAAGATATCTGTTTGGATAATGAAAAACCATCTCAATCAGAATTAGATAAGGTATCTGTATTAAGTGCCTTAAGAATAGTCAAAGAAGGAAAAACTCCAGATCTATCAAAGGAAATGTGCAAATAGGCCCAATTTAGCACAATACCCAGACAATGTATTTTAAATCAGATAGATTTTAATATATGTAAATATTCATTTAAAAACTATTTTCGTTTTTCGTTATGTTGTTATTTTGTGGTGGTAAATACATATACAGTTGATCTAGATAAATGCATCGAAACACGTATGTATCAGTGTTGAATTTATACTTTTATTGAAAATATTTTTGATGTCGGTTGAAAAGTTTTCCGAACTTCTAAGCCACCGTTTATAGGCCCGGAAAACGTTTCAACAGCCACGCAAACCCTTCATAGTCTAATATTTTTAATGTTCCGAAAATTGCGGGTTCGAAATTATAAACTAAACCGATTTCAAGAAATGTTCTGTGATATTGTAATAATGAATTTCAGTGAATTTTACATGTACCGAATACAGATATTCAAGTAATATATTTTATGACTACACTATTCTTGCGAATTAATTCTCGAAACCTTCTCATCAAAATTACCCAAATATTATTGCTATTTCAAGTGCAAACGGCGTGCGTTTGCGTTCGCCGCAAATAGTTTGGATTTCGAAATAGTATTATCGGCGTTTCTTTCAGATGGAGCAAATCCCAAGCCAAAAAAAGACCGTGTATAAACTGTATAAATAAAAAAAGACCGTCTTATTCAGTAGCTGAGTAGTTGACTACGAATTAATTTTGCAGCAGCTCAGAATTAGCGTGCGCACATCGCACACATACACACATTAACATTTTTTCCTATATTAGCCCCTTGCAAAGCTGACAACGATGTCCTCTTCTTAGAGAATTCTTCACTATTTTGTTAATTATTTTTTAATGTAACTAATTACTAAAGTAGTAAGAAAATTTAAAATTAATAAAAATAGTTTTTGGTGCGGTTCATAGAGGCCACCCTGGGTAGTTAAATTTAGTTATCATATGCTGACAACAGTTTGACGTTTTAAAGTAATGTCGCCATATTTAGTTTTTGTAGTTATTTGTTTAAGTGGGCCAAAATAAAATGTGGGACATTTGGACGTTTAAACTTGCACAAATAAGAAAAAATGATAAACTCTCAAATATGTTTAAGTGCTTCTAGCATTGGTTTATGCTAAACACCATGAAGATCAAGTAGTAGTTATGTATGAGAGATGTGCATTTAAAGACCTTAGTGGTGGACTGAAATGGGGGACTTTGCTTACATTTATCAGGCCTTGCAGTCATTTGAACCCATACAGAATAATGGAGTTTATTTAGCCATTCAAAGAGGAGACACATTTGAAATCTCAGCCAGTTCTCCTTATGGGCATTTAAAAAACCCCAATCTACTGTTTGCTTACAATAGAAGAACTGGTGCCTCTGGATATGTTCGAGGTGTGTATAATATCAGTACGTAGTTGATTTGTTCATTATGTAAATACTGGACGCTTTTTCAAATAAAACATAACATGCCATTTAACAGTTGTATTGGCCATTCAGGCGAAAACATTCAATGTTTAACTTCAGGCTGGACAACCAGAACTGCCAATTGAAGTAAATGCTTCGGAAATAAATTACATTTTCTGCAATCTTTATTTTATTTCAATTATCCTACTAACTGTGTTTGCACTGAACAATTATGATTTTTCATTCCTTGCCCTGTAAGTACCTAATAACCATGGAATTAATGAGATTTTGTTCTTTATTTAGAAATACTATACTTTACTTAGCGTATTATAATGGCATAAATCATAAAATTATTTAGACCTTCATTGTCTCTAATTGCGTTGGAGCATTTATTTCCATTGGCAGGAATCGAGTTCCTAGTGAAAAGTATTGTTTTGTATGCCACTTTCAATCGAGTGAATTGCCAAACAATTTTACTATTTCCCATAAGCGCATTCTGTAACGTTGGTATAAATAAATTAGCAGCAACTTTGCATGAATCCAAAAACATAAACTATTGAGCTGTAGCTATATACAGTTTATAATAGGTCAACTTTCTAGACATGTTTATGTGTTTGTTGATAACTATTAGAACTATTTATTGCTAGCTTAATTGTGGGTAGAAATATAATAAAGTCGTTCTGGTTTATAAATCAAGCTAGTCAAATTAATTAGCATTTGTACAATACTTGGGGTATGTGATGTTTTAATGCAAAACAACTTGGCGTGAAGTTTTTTAAATGTGTAGATAACATACCCTATTCCCAGCTTGGAGAAATTGTTTGCTTTAATGAGTTTGCATGTTATCAATTAGTCTCGGCATTCCGAGAATTTATAGATCAAACTATCTACCTTGTCAGCATTTGAGTTTAATATTTGATAATATATCTACATTTAATAAAACGCTTTCAATATATATATTTTTGAATTTACCGCGCCCCAGTGCTTTAGTAGTCAGAATTGTGTTTTCTAGTTGTTTTTAGAACATTTACTGATACTATGTTTTGTTTTAGTTGAACATGTCAAACTGCTCGGCCAAGAAGTTAACAAGAAGATTCACCATCCTTCAGAGATTGGTGTACCAGGTACAGTTCCTAAATATGTGCGTTTTACCACTCGCGAGATTCTTTTTGACCTTACCCAACAATAGCAAAATGATCAACATCATAGTCCTTTAATATTGCTGCTTAGGTTTGACTGATAAGTAGCTAAAAATAACCACAGTTTATGGTAGGCTCTCGTGTAATTATTTACTTTCAATTATGCCACAATCATTAATTTTCGATGGTTTAAATGTCCTTAAACTTGACGAAAAAGCCTCTAAGTAGGTGGATCAATTACTGGAAAATGAGTATTGAGTTTCACTGTAATCAGCTGACTATGCTTTATGAATAAAAACGGGTTTCGTTATCTCCTACATTTGGCTATAGTTAAAACTTGCTCTAAAATTTTGATTTTTTTTAGAGCCAGAAAAGAAACCATCCGCGCATAAGCTTGAGGGCATCTATGTCTTGACACCGATTCTCTGCAAGCATTGTAAGTACCATTTTAGGCTAGATATTCGAAAATTTTAAAGAAGAGAAGAAATATTAGAGATTAAGTTTTTTCCTGACGTTTTGCAAGGTGCAAGCACCAGCAGCTCGAAGGACTGGACTGATTCATTCATTATCAGTTTAGTGTTGAACCAGAATAGATCCAGTAGGAATAAATTATATTCCCTAAAATCGCACCAGTTTCAAACAATGGCCGTGAAAGTCCTGCTTTAAGTGTTCCTTTCGCAAAAAGTGTTCAACACGTTTCCCACATTTCTTTTCACAATTAATTTCTTTAGACTTTGATTGCAATGGTACTGTTAGATTGTTTTTCTCTCAAATAATCCAATATTGTGTGGTCATTGGAACTAGTCAGATCAGGTTTGCTCAGGGACGAACACCTTTGTTATCTTTGCATTTTCCGTTATCTACTGCGCCTTAGTGAATTTAGTAGATTAACTAAAAGTAGTTAATTTCATTGTCAGAATAACTCTAATAATTTTTTTTCAATTAGCAATCGAAGTGGATCAGTGTGAATGAATGGGAAATTTCCGTGATTGTGATAGTGCGGTAATCTCAAGAGAAATGAGTACATTTTCTTTGGAAACATGCACGTATTTGAGTGGGCATGGAGAGCTCTTGAAAGCTTCCATTACATATTTACTGGTATGCATATTCTCGCAGGCACTGCACATCGAAATTTTTAATACAATAATGTTTTTCCAACCTATGGAAACTGGTTTCGCTTTTCTTGTTTTTGATCGCACCTTAAGTTGTGTTGTCTGTTTCCAGATTCGTAAAGCAATACACTGAATGAGATTGTAGTTTGTTTTATCCCGACTATTTAACGTTGCCAGATAATACAGTAGCATCATGCTAAGGTAGGGTCCGCACATTGTAAACATTTTTATCTGAAATTATCGAATTTTGTAAGAGCTGAATCTGCTATAGGAATTCATCACAGATGGTTGTATTAAAGTTACCGCAATTTTAAAGGTTTTTAGTGGAATCTATTCAAAACAAAATGGCGAAAGAGCAGTTTCAGTAAGAATTGACCCTGCTTATCGGCACTGTATGCTGACGCTCACATATATTTAATTGTCTATTGGAATTGTAATAGTCTGTTTGAGATATAGTTGGAACTTCGGTGGATTTAACAACGCTAGGTTTAAATTGATAATAATGATTGATGAGATCATGAGCCCTTCTGTATCTAAGCATTATATTTTATACGTTGTGGTATATTATTGTAGATAATTTTACAGAACAAATGCTATTTAAATATGTCCTAATGTCCTAGAAAAAATAGGGGAAACCGCAGTTACAAAGGTGATTATTAAAACATTTACTTCCTCATCGCCAACGACATGGTTAAATAGTCCGCGAGGTCCTCAGATTTGGCGCCAATTGATTCATATTCGGGGGAATTTAACAGTACATTAAACACACAGCAAAAACATTCTAAATGACGAAATATTACATGTTTTATCGAAAGTTTTAGTACTTTGGAATAGCTTGATTTATCAGCTGAGAGTATTTTCGAAATGTTCTTGTTTTGAGGATTTTGTCTTTTAGTCTGCTTTACACGTTTTATTGTGTCTCTTCCATTTTTTCCCAAGTGTGATTTGTTGTAAAACCGCAGTGTAGTGAATTTTTTCGTTTCTGTTAGCTCAAAAAATCAATATGTTAGTTATATCATTATTTTCCCAAGGTTCTTGAAAGACATTTACCAGGCGTTTTAGATGGTGAATGTGTGACATAGATTTACTAATTCACGTACAAAATAAAAAATCGTCTCTGAGGTGAGTGGCCGATATGTTGGGCTGGGAGCGGTTTAATCAATTTTTGTTGGCTTCTGAAATGGATAAAGTAATCGCTAAGTCAGATGCAATTTTCCTATTAAGTTTGCTTCGATCTTTCTGAGCGCTAAACGTTGTCGTTTTCACGTAGATACGTCCCTTTATAATCGACATTAGCTTTCAATAGTGTTATCAATATTTTGTAATTCATTATTGGCGTATGAAACATTAAGACCTCATAATTCGAACACTTATCGGAAATATTATCATGTGACCTAGTTAATTTTTATCATAATAACTATCCCTGTAATTAAAACGAACTAAAATACTCTGTGTTGCCTGCACATGTTTCTGAAATAGACAGTTTTTTATATGTAGACATAACGTTGGCCATAGTCGAAACAATAGGTTTTTGTAGGAATTAAGTGAGTTGTTGCAATCATATTTCAATTAAACATGTATCGTTAGTACGAACTTGTTTACGTACATTTCGCTCTGTGCTCCTCTCTGTATGCAATGTAATATTCCAATAAGTCAACTGCCTTAAAACCTATAATCTGTTGAATACATTTCTACTGCAAGTTCATTTAAATTTGAAGGCATCTACTTTTCCATAAAGTCATCAGTTAATTGAGCTTACTTATGTTCAAACAAAAAAAGTCGAGTTAACAGGCTTTTTGTTTTTCGTCGGTACCCGTGGAAAATCC